CAGTTGTTCTTGGGGTGCTCTATTTGAGTCGCCCTGATCTCCCTTGAGATCGCCTTGTCCAAAAATGTAGATACTTGATCCGCTTGCCTTCTGACCACTTGAGCCGTCTCGCGATCTTGTATCTGGACTTCTTAGTCCTCTGCGTCCAATCGCAGCTTGATTTGTTTTGTTGAGAATTCTTGCAATCCCTGGCCAAACAATCCAGGGATATGACTTGCGTAGTAGGTAGACTTCCTTGAGACGTCGGGAGGCCAAAGAATCCAGCCCGGAAGAGAAGTCGACACGTGTACTTAGAAGCAAATTGAACTCTGTTAATGTTAACCAATCAAATACCAAAACCTATGATCTTGACTATCTGTAGCTCAGGATCTGTTGCCACGTATCGCCCTTTCGGAAAAAATCAGATCTCGGAATGTGGTCCACTCCAATATAGCCGCGATCTGGATCGCTACCTCACTCGGATATAATACCATTTTAGTACCAGATCGCGGTACTAAATAATTAGTACCAGATCGCGGTACTAAATAATTAGTACCAGATCGCGGTACTAAATAATTAGTACCAGATCGCGGTACTAAATAATTAATACCAGATCGCGGTACTAAATAATTAATATCGGATCGCGATCCGCCGGATCCCGACTTGTCTTCTTCACCGTTTCTCAGGTCATGTGAGATAGTTCATCAATGTGACATTTCATATCCACCATTCCAGTCCTCCATAGCGACGTGATCCACACCAGACCGTCCTCCACATGCTTGGATGTACCCATCTTCCTCCTTAGCGACCGCGTTCACGCGGATCGCCATCGGAAATACTGGAGATCGCAATAGCGTAGTTTCTAGGCCATATTTGACCCCACATAGAAGTGCAAACTACTCCATTCACTGTTTTCCATCCTATTTGACATCGTCTTGAAACCTTTCTGCGAGATCGCGACTCATCAATATTGGCCACGAGATCGCGACTCATTAATATTGGCCATTTCGGACTTAACCGAAAATATGCGATCACACTTGGCGAAATTCACTCTTTCACTTCGCCACACTTCTTATTCGCTCAAATTGGGAGCTCATGCGTCACACTCCAGCAATGCAGCCACCCATGGAAAATGTCGTAATAATACCCTGATGGGATGTTACAAAGTATTCATATTGGTGCAATCTCTCAAGGGTATGTAGTGACTAGGCGTCGCTAGGATGCCAGCTGGGTGACGCGTAAATATGTTTATGACGATGTATTAGATGTTTCGACAGCTCCTAGCGCTATACAACGGCGTCGCAACGTTTCTACTCGCTTAATTGACTGTCCTTTGGAGCTCTATGGACGAATGCTTCAATCAGATGGATCCTTGGCATCTTTCTGCTCGTAATGGCGGCTACACCACGATCCGTCCAGCGATCTTACGGGCCATGCTGATTACACGACGTCTGCAGCCAAAACAACTTGGGAGTTGACTTCGCAAATGCAGGTATCGCTTTAAAGGATATGCTTGCGGCATTACGTCGAGCTGATATCGACTCGCAAGCAATTGTAAAAACATTTACAGTGAACAAGTCCACCAATTTTACACTTTTAGACCCTTTTGGAGACAGCAAGTATCGATTTGACTATCGCTGCAACGAGAGCAATTGAGCTACGCACTAGTTCTTTGCTCGTCTCATCTACATTCGACTAGTGCAAATGTATTTTTTCACTGCTTAAATGGATTGTTCGTATAAACTAATCGTTTTCAAATGCCTATGTAGAACGTTATCGAGTACTAGCTTCAATACCTCGTTCACGGTTGCAGTCGCCTTCATTCGCAAGGAAATTGAGACGTATTGTCGGTGGGCACTAGAACGCGTTGCCGACCTTTACGAACAAAAGAAGCTATTTTCAATTACCACCAATCGTGAGCTGGCACTAATAAACCCATTGGTTTTATTTTTTTCCGCATCTACGCATTTGCTGTACGTGTGGTATACAAAAAAATGTTCTAGCTAGTTATCAAAATAAGTATATCGCGACTACGAAGGACTAGGACGCGTTTTACCAAAATTGACAGGTGTTATCAAACTAATTGTGTGAAATTGTTTGCGTCGATATGTCATGCCCCTTTTTATCACGTATGCGTTCGTGCCGGATTTGAGCTTTGTCTTACTAAAGTACTCAGCCACATGGTCCGTTCGCGTGGTCATCATTTTATTCCCAATTTGGAGCCTGTTTCTAGTGCTGGCCTGCGAAAGGGTTGATAATCCTAAAGTTTCCTTTTTTGAAATTGCGATTAAAACGAGCTTAATATATTGGAGCTACAGTCTTACTCGTATCGATGCCCACAGGAAACACAGTTCCGCCACATCCACAGTGGCAGGCAGAAAATTCAAAATCTTGTGTTCAGCCGGAAAGTTCTCGAATGATAGAGATGGGATAGCAAATGTAAATGACTACTTTTTGTATGAGATCATACTGGGTCCAAGATGTGGTGATATTCTTCTTTCTGATTAGCTGGCTAACAAGATTTTTATTGGTGTGTTTGATGTTTGCACACTGCACAGTGTATGTAACTCGCTTATGGAACCTCCATACTCTCAGTGCAGTAAGCGTGCAAGTAAACTACGCTAATTTACAATCGAAATAAAAAGGAAATGTTGTATTGAATTAAGTTCAAACACATTATTTTTTTCTAAATTTCAACTAATTTTGATTTACAAAAGCTAATGTAAGTTTCCCGCTAAGCGGTGTTTTGTGTGAAATATCCTTTATACAAATTACAAATATTCACCATCCAATGGCATTAAATCAAAGTGTCAACATTGTAATGCTTAGTTCCCGATAAAGCAACTCATTTAAATCAGGGTCATATCATGTAACAACTTTACACCTCCAGTGTTATTAATAATGCTGAGGCTGCAATGTCGAATACTAGTTAACAATTATGTCACATCCGATCTCGCAACGCAGACCGCACAACCTTGCCAGTCACGTACTAATTGGCAGGATCGGAAAATTTCGAGTACACGTCACCAGCCCACGTTCATGACGTTTGAGTTACATCAGTCTCCCTCGTCCGACAAGCGATATGCGAGTCTTGACAGAGGCCGTTAGGCATGAGCCCCCAAAGCGGCCGACCAAACCGCCGGATCCAGGCGACGGCAATAGGCACAAGCAACGAGACAGGAATGACCCAAGCGACGGACAGGCGACGGTGGCCGACACGCCGCCATTGCCGGACGGCGCAGACACTGCTTAATTGGAGCCCACCGCTAAGGTGATCCACATAGGCGTACCGGGAAAGGAAGGCGAAGAGCAGGCGGTACGCAGAAAGAAATGTTTAAGACGGTGGTGGAGGCGATGAAGGCAGCCCCGCAGAATCCTCCGCACGATGCATGGATCGCAACTGTTGCAGGATTATATAAAATTGTGCATGATACGGTGACCATAACTGTGGAGCTAGTCCCGACCGGAAAGTAACGCTTTCCGACACTACGTAGCGACAAAAACAACCTTATTCAGGTTATATGTGGAGGCGTGCATTGTCAGCGTCGGCTCGTTCACGAAGTGGAAACAGTATGCGCAGACGGTGGCCTACGATATCTACAATACAAGCTGGTCGTTTATTAACATCATGCAAAGCATGATTAGCAATCAAGTGGGCGCGGGTAAAGCCAATGAACCAGTGGGAAACCAATGTCATGTCAGGCACCGGATCTAAGGGGACTAGGCACGGTAACACGGCAACGCTTGGCACCTATAAAATTTTCATGTTTAACCCAGCAGTCTTCAGCAAGACGTATATCGAAACGCTTCACATGCTCAGCCAGCAACCGGGAGCCACAACTAGAAGCTGGTGTCGGCTCCGAAAGAGCACCACGGACGAGTGGAGGGTCATCAAAGGACTTTACGAAGGAAAAATTGTGAGCAAAAGACTCCCGGGGTGCCCGGAATTTTTGCGAGGAATCGTACGGATTATATGGTACGGATGGACCATCATTTTGAAGCACCCGTACGTAGGCCAACGACTATAATGCCTACGCTGTGACAATCTCGTCCATAGTATGGCACGGTGTCGTTATACTGAGGCAAATTGCGCGGGCTAGCCAGTCGAGTGGCTACAGAGCAAGAGGTCGCCAAACTGGTAGACTTGGCCACCCCGTTCTCCAGCCTGGCGGAGATAAGATAAGTTGCTGTACAGCGCCTCCAACTTCAACTGGATAATGAAAAGAAGGCGCAGGATGCAGTAGCACCATCCGCGGAGCGACCGCACGCCCCGACGGCAGTAGTGCAGGGATCCCCAGGAGAAGCCATACTGTCTGTAAGAGACACCGAACCAGCCCACGCAGGGTGAACACAGCATGGAACCTGAAACGAAAAAACAATGAGTCACGGTCCCTCACTAAAGAATCATAAAAACTATCAAGCTGCCAGCGGTATCATAGCAGCAATATACGAGCCTCTTCTCCAGGTTTGTGAAACTAGCAGATGGATTGGAGGACGAGGTGAACAATAAAAAAGCTACATATTTCAACCAGGACAGGCCAGCTCTTACCCTCTTTCTTAAGGGTAACAAGCTTCGAGGTCGAAAGTAGTTTTGTCTGTTCCGCTATCACCAGGTGTACTGTTGCCTCTTTCGTCTCAAATGTCTTCGGGTGGTCATGATTCTTCAGGTGATTAGATGATATTGTGAACGTGCGTCAATGAGCAAGGCAGTTAAACAATTGACAATTACAGGGGATACTAGCTGCCCATGGCACGATCGGAACAAAATTATGCAAAGGATTTGCCCAGTATCGAAGAGGTAGTAAGTATCCGGCCTGTCACCACCCCATCTTCTAAGAATTGTATGGCGATGGCATTAGCGCAGGCGGTTGCATACCACAATCTAGCAGCCCATGATGGCAGCCTCGAAGGTATAACCTCAAGTATTAAACGACATACAGGACATCTGCATTTTGACAAGCAGCTCGACCTTTCCGTTCGGAGCAATACTAATTAATGTACAAAAGGGTGGGAAGGCATTCATGGACACTAATCAATGTGCAAAGGTGTGGGAAGGCATGAATGCCCATGAATCCAAGAAGCAATTCATATGGTACCTCGACGAATATGCGGTCACACCCTCCGGTCGCCAAGATTGCATTTCGCGTTGGAATAGAGGAGGTAGCAAGCTCATGGCGATAGCAGCGAACTCCGTCCAAAATGATATTTTTGTACTCGCGTACAATACGGACGGTCAGCAAAAGTTGCACTGCTCGCTGTTTAGATTAAGCACCACAACGCGTGGTAATAAAGTGTACGAAACCGGCCAGCAAGTTCTTATGCATCTCAACCAATGCATTGCAGGCAAAACAACAAGGATCGAAACGACCACTCGTGCTGAGATTCTGCGGGAAACACTACCCGGCATCTCGGCATTTGTCCACACGGGGCCGTTGCCCATCCGCAAAATGGAGACAACCGGACAAGTATGCCGACTATTAGCATTGTTAATTAGCTCGGCATCCCAGATCCCAACCCAGGAGATACACCGTGTGCTTCAGGTGGACATACATGACGACAGCAACATAGACACGAATTAGCTGTTCAATCAATTCAGCTATCAAGGGAGTCATTGCAACAGTGACAAGCAGTGGCTAAGCAGAAGAGACGAACGCTCGAGAGCAGCAGATGGTTTTGCTGTCTGAATCGGAAGGTCGACCTGCCTCAGATTTCGCAACCATCATCCACAGCTTCCAGCTTGATGTAATACCCCATCCACGAGCTATAGCAGTCTTCCAGGAAGTCAAAAGCGGTCACACTCCGGGCTCATCCAATGTTATGCAAATGTGTCGATGCACATCATGAAAAAAACATGCCTGCCAAGCGATCACGTAACGCTGATGCATTCCGTTGCAATGACTTAAGCTCCATACCTCGGGCGAGCTGCTGCTCCCCACACTGTGGTCGCTTTGCTCGTCAACCTGTGAATATTCTGTATTCATCAACATGTATATATCCTTTTGTTTCTCCTCTGTCTCGACTACGCCAGCAGAAGGGGACAGATACGGAAAATCATGCGAGCTAAGTTGCAGCAGGAATTGCCAGAAAGGGCGACAGCCATGCAGGACGCCGGTTCCCCTGCACTGACTGCAGAGCTCCTTGATACACGCGTCTCAAGGTTTCGACTCCAGAGCTTCAACCAACGCTAGGATATATATGAGGTTTCTAGTTTTTTTGTAAATGCATACGTTTTACGATAGGTAATGAACGTTTTAGGCGCTTCCAAATGCAGCCGTAGATGAGAAAGCACTCCCGATTCGTCACTACCTCCTGCCCGGTTTATAATCGAATCGCCTTCTCGAAGATGACCGTGCATGTAACGGGGCTAGAACGTACCGTCACTAGCTTACACGTGCGCTTGAGGAAGACTCAAGCCCAAGTATTAGGTATTAAGTAAATTTAACTCTGATTTTTATTTTGGTTTTATTTCGTACTAATTACGAAAATTTTAGTCGTAATAAATACATCAGTGTTCCCGCCTTTCGGGAACCACACAATTTCAGGTTGATTTATCATTGGTCCATATTGGGGACTTTAGGCCCAATAATAAATTACCAAGATGTGCCCGCTATTCGGGCCCAGCACCTGCCTACATATGTACTTGTTTATTCATATTAATACTATGTAATGTAGCCCATTACATCACCCCCTTCTCATGACAGCTCTCACCAACCGTGAGCGCTCAACTGTCAAAAACCCTTCGCCTACAAACGAACAAGCAATGTCCGGAGACCCAACACCCAGTCCAGCAGCACTCCCAAGGAACGTCAGCGGGAGTGCATCAACCAACATCATGGCGCGGCAGCTCATACCTTGGTCGCTGTACGACTTGTCCGGATCCCACGCTCCGGACTCACTGGACATGATGCGGGACTACTTCCGCCGATTTCGAAAGCTGCGCGGGAAAGGTCTTGATGGAATCGAGCATGAAGCTCTACAACGTTCTTGGTGCGCCTTCATCCAACGTTGGAATCGGATGCTTGAGGATGGTAGCAGCTTTCAGTTATGGCTCACCAATCGAGAGGAGCTTCGCGCCGATCACTCCATCGGCGCGCTACGCGAAAGAGTGTGTGAGGATGCTTGGAATGAGGACCGTCTCTGCTTCGTCCATGTCAATGAAGGATGCCAATCTTGTGACTCGACTCCACGCCCAACTCATGACGAATGGCGACGACACATCGCTGAGTGTCCACTCAGTGATCGCGAACGAAGTTGGATTGCGAAGTATGAGCGAAGTCTGGGCGAACGAAGAAGCGCAGTTATTCGTGGTGCGCCCCGCTGGCGGCACCACTCGCGACAGCGGAGTCAATCTCCGCGGGATCATCAGCGCAGAGCAGCGACACGTTCGCCTGCCCGTCCAGTTGCGCGATTCTCGCCTCGCAATCGTGATATGTATTCACCGCGACATTCTCGATCACGGCATCGTTCTCGTTAGCGACATCGTTTGCGTTCGCGACATCGTTCTCGTTCGCGTCATCGTTCTCGTTCCCGACGACGTGGATCTCCTTATCGCTCTCGTTTGTCACGAGAGCGTTCGCGTGCTCGCCCGCCTTGGAATAGTCCGACTTCGTGGCTTCATACGACAGAACCACATCTGGAACGTCACGAAGGAGCGAGGAACGTGGTTCCCATGTATCCTGCTCGGGAGAGAATCCAAGCCAACGTACTCGGTACCTACGCGCGGATGGAACCACACGCTTCTCATGAGCCGACTGCAGTAATGGTTGTGGAGAGTCCTCGTGACCCACAATGCGGTCTACAATCCAGCGCACCTGTCCCTCCGCATCAACAAGCGGAGGAGGGCCCTCGCGGTGGTAGAGCTGGCGTCCTGGTTGCTCAGGACGATGTTGATCAGGCCGTGAATATAGCTGCCGATGCTCGGCTGGAGGCTGAGGCTGCCAGTGAACGTGCTGCCCAGGCGGAGAAGACTTCGAGTGAGACCCGGCAGTCGAACCGTGAACTGCTCGAGCGGATAAGGATTCTGGAGCGCCAGATGCTTGGTCAGGTTCAGACGGGATCGAGACCCCACCCCATGTCATCGGCGCGTCGAGCACGACGGGAAGGCCGTTCGACTTACGAACCCCTGAAGCCGGCGTCGGAGCCAAACCGTGAAGCGTAGCGGGACGATATTCCTTCAGCTGCCCGACATAGAATGTCGGGTGGAGTCGCAGTGAAGAGGGGACGTCGAGTGTATAAGCGTGGCCAATTGCCTTCAGAACCTTGAATGGACCGATGAAGCGTGGCGCGAGTTTACTCGCGCCCAGATTAGTGACCGCAGAATCCCTTAAACCTTCCGTAGATAATAATACACGGTCACCTTTCTCAAACTTGCTCATGTTCTTTCTTCCATGTTTGTCAGCGTTCTCCTTCTGTAGGTCTACAGCAGTTTGTAGTGCGTCGCGTACAACCCGGGTGATGGCTTGACGTTGGAGTGTAAATTCCGACACGGCCATGTCATCAATTGGTCGCGCCGACTCAATCGGTGCGTAGTTGGCAGTAGGGGAACGCTTACCCGAAGACGGGTCAATCAATGTCTGCGCAGTCCATCGAGCTAATGGGGACGCCACGTCTGATGGCGTCAAAATGGCCGTCTTTGCCTTGGATCGTGTTACTGCATTCGCGCTCAAAATACCGTGAGCTGCACTCGATCCTTGTTTATCACCTTTATTCCCCCCCCAGAGTGGAGCCACTAGGTGTTGTGGGTCGCCCCACGGCCAAGACAGTAGGAACACGAGGGTGACGAGCCGAATTCACAAAAAATGGTGTCAACCCTGTTGACGCGTGTACGGCGTTGTTGAGTGCGAACTCAGCGAGTGGTAAAAATGCACTCCAACTTGTAAATGACGTAGCATAACTTCGAAGAACATCTTCGAGGACTCGGTTCACGCGCTCGGTCTGCCCATCCGTTTCCGGATGGGCTGCCGTCTACATCAGCAGTTTTGTCCCGAGGAGCTCGAAAAGTGATGTCCAAAATGCGGACGTAAATCGCGGGTCACGGTCCGAAACAATGTTTTCTGGAAGGCCATGATGACGGAACACCGCGTCGATGAAGTGCGCCGCGGTCTCTGCCGCGGAGACCTTAGCGTGAACAGGCACGAGATGTGTCATCTTGCTGAATCTGTCAACAAAGACTAAGATGCCCGTTCGAGCTTGGCTATCGGGCGCAAGCCCGAAGATAAAGTCCATCGAAACTGATCTCCAGGCCTCTGCTGCAATAGGCAACGATCGCAAGGGAGCCTGTGACGATGGAGATGGCTTCACACGCTGGCATATTTCGCACGTTCGGATCCAGTTGCGTACCCACTTATACATGTGGGGCCAGAAGAAGTCTCGAGACACAGCCGCGAAAGTCTTTTCGCGGCCTAAATGGCCGCCAGCAGGAGCATCGTGATACTCGTGGATGATTCTTGAACGCAAATTCATGTCGTTGGCAATCACCGTGCGAGGAGAATCGAATTGGTCGATGCTATACAGAAGCAAATCGCCATCTAAACTGTATCGATGAATATGGTCGCGCTTGGTACGGGATAATGCTCCCAGTGCAGCATCGCTGGGAGCACGCAGATACTCGATAATGTCTGCATAATCTGAGTCACCCTTGTACGCTGCGACGATCTCATCAAATAAACACGGCTCAGGTGTAACCCGAGTTAAGTTCAGCGATACACACATTGCACATCGGTCATCATCGTCCTCGTCATCAGTAGCCTGGCGACTCAGAGCAGTCCGAGGATCGTAGTCGGGACGTCGTGACAAGGCGTCAGCGAGAATATTGGTCTTGCCTGGCTTGTAATGCACGACGAAGTTGTACTCAGAGAAGAATGAGAGCCATCGTGCCATCCGTTGGGACAGGTGTGGGCTCTTCATCGCTGTGCGCAGCGATGCATGATCGGTGTACAAAGCAAACGTACTTTCACCAAGGAGATGCACGCGAAACTTGATGAGTGCATAGCGCATCACTCCTTGTCGTGAACCGGATAGTTCTTCTCAGCTGGCTTCATCTGTCGCGACTGATAACTCACGACTCGTTCACGGCCCTTATCATCAAATTGCATGAGGGCACAACCGATTGCAAAATCACTGGCGTCGCAAACCACGTGGAACGGCTTGGAATCGTCTGGTAGGACCAGGACTGGCGCTGACGCTAGGCTCTTCTTTACTGCTTCGAAGGCTGCTTGGTGCTCGGGACGCCACAACCACGTGGCGTCTTTCTTCAAGAGTGACGACAAAGGCTGGATAGAACCAGCATAATCCTTCGTATACTTGTGCAAATAATTAGCCAAGCCGAGCCACTGGCGCAACTCCGTAGGGTTCTTGGGCGTGGGCCAAGAACAGATGGACGACACCTTCTCTGGATCAGCTCGAACTCCCGATTTACTCACATAGCAACCTAACACCGGAATCTCCGGTGCACAAAAGACACACTTCTTGAGATTCGCGTACAACTTGTTGTCCCGCATAACTTGAAACACTTGCTTCAGGTGTTGAAGGTGAACTTGGACATCGTTGAGGTTGCCCTCGGCGCGACTATGGACGAAGA